TGCCGCGCAGCGGGCAGGGCTGCCCGCGGGTCTGGCAGGCACCGGGCAGCGCTGCCTTTGCCCAGGGCGGCTACCGCGCCCGCTGCCCCCGCGCTCGAGCATCCCCCAGTACCCCCCATCACTGCCCCGGGGGACCCGGGCCCCCCTTGCACCGCTGAGACCCCGCAACTCAGCTCACTTGTGGCCTCCTCCTCGCCCCAGCGCTCTCCGCTCCGTCCGCCCCGGGTCGGATCCTGCCGGGTGCACCCTCAAGGACGAGGGGTGCTGGGCAGCCGAACCCCAATGCCTGCGGTGGTGCCGAGCCCCAGCGCTGGGTGCAGGATGGGGACCCGGGGCTGTCGTGGGGTTCGGCCACCCCGGCGAGGCTCTCACCTTCATGGGGGGCTGCATCCAGCCTCGTGACCCGATTGCAGGATCAGGCCGTGGAGCATTAACGCTGCGTAGCGTTGGGCTCCGCTCCGTTGGCAGGATCAGGCCCCGATGCGTTAGCACCCGCTGCACCCCGGCCCTACCCGGTGCTCGGCCCCGAGCAGCTCCCCTTGCGCTCGGCCGCCTCGTCCCTCCATCCCCACCCACCCTGGGCCCAGCTGGCAGCTCTCCCCTGGGGATGGGGAGGGAATTTATTGGGGGTCAGGAATATTAATGGTCCCCCCTCACCCCTCGGGTGGCTCCGTGACCTTGGCCAAGTCCCCCAGCCTCCCCTGCCCCGGAGCTGCGGTGCCGTGCCCCGTGTCACCCCACCCTCGGGTGCGGGGGCTCCATGTGCCTCCGAGCCCTTCGGGGATGGGCAGCATCTTCTCCGGGAGAGAGCAGGACTTGGGAGAGTCCAGCAGGGCTGAGGGGCTGGGGGTGCTGGCATTGGGTCCCTCCGGGGGGCTGTAGGGGGCCAGTGGGCTTGGGGGTGTGGGGACATGCACCCTGAAAGCAGAGAGGGGCTTGCCGCCTGCTGCCGTGGCTCTCTGGGGGCCGGTGAGCTCGGCGTGCGCCAGCGCATGGGGACGGCGTGTGCCAGGTCCCGGTGTTGGCACACGCACGTGGGGTGGCGTGTGTGGGGCATGGGGGACGGATAGCGCCGGATGGCTGGGGCTGCTCTCATGGGCTGGCGGCTGCTGTGAGGATGGAAGGACTGCCTGCACCCCGCATCAGCACCCTGCACCCCACGCCCTGCATCCCACCCTGCTCCCCACCCTGCACACACGCCTGCCTCTGGCAGAGGCTCCAGGCAGCTGGACCCCCCCTTGGGAAAGCAGCTCTGGCTGTTCCCTGCCAGGGCTGGAGGGATGGGGTGCATGCCGGAGTTGAGGTACGATCCCATGCCCCCAGTACTCCCTCTCCTGCCCGGCCCATGAGGACGAGTTTCATCTCCCGCATTTCATTCCCTGCCCAAGAAAGGAACAAACCCAACACCATTTGCAGGGCGATTCTCTGGGGTGCAGGGTCCCGACCACCCTCGGCAGGGCTCGAGCTGTGCTCCAGCCATCGGTCCCCTCTCCCTGTCTCCATCCTCCTTGTGCCACCCCAGGCTCCTCGTCTCCGCAATCAGGACCATGTCGGGAACCCCATGGTGCTGGGTGCCCGATGTTGCTGGGTGCTCGATGGTGCACAGTGCCTGGAGGGCTCAGGGTGCCTGGTCAGTGCTGGGAGCCCTGGGGATGGTGCAGGGTGCCCAGCGTGGTGGAGCCCAGCATCCGACGGCGAGGGTGTGCGGGAGGAGTGGGAGGAGGAGGAGGAGGAGGAGGAGGCTGGTGCCAGGGCTGCGCGTGTGTTTAGCTTCGTGGCTTCCTGGCTGGCAGGCTGCTGGCGGCAAGAAATAACTGAGTGGGAGAGTGTTGGCTGCGCCGCAGGGAGACGGGGACGCCGGCACGGCACAGGGCACCCATATAGCACAGGGCACCCACGCAGTGCAGGGTACTGGGTGGCTGTGGGTTGTCGCCTCCACCACAGAGGCAGAGGCTCTTGTCATGGAGCAGCACGTGATACCACCAGGCTTGAGACCATGGTGAGGGGCACCAAAAGGTCTCCCCAGGTCATCAGGGAGCCACAGCCCTGGCATCCAGGTGATGTTCTTTGCCGTGCCCTGCAGCTCGATCCCGAAAACACCGGCTTCATCGGGGTGGAGACGTTCGCCAGCCTCGTGCACAGTCATGAGCTGCCCCTGGACCCCGCCAAGCTGGACATGCTGGTGGCCCTGGTGCAGGGCAACGACGAGGGGCAGGTCTGCTATCAGGAGCTGGTAGACCTGGTCAGTGCTGGGGGGCCGCGGGGACGGGGGCGAGCGGCCGGGTGCCAGCCCGGGGCGGGCACTGGGCACCTCCCTGTGTCCCTGGGGAGGGGGGCAGACACTGGTGGTCCCCTTGGGGTGGCTTGTCCAGCCCGTCCCACCCCATGGGCTGTGGCATGGGGTGACGGCGATGGGCAGGGGGTGGCCGCAAGCCCACTGGCCCGAGCTGCCCCTGCGGCCCCCGTGGGCACGGCCTCTCTCCGCAGATCAGCAGCAAGCGCTCGAGCAGCTTCAAGCGCGCCATCGCCAACGGGCAGCGAGCCCTGCCCCGAGACGTGCTGCTGGATGAGACCGGCCTGGGCTTCTATAAGCGCTTCGTCCGCTACGTGGCCTACGAGATCCTGCCCTGTGAGATGGACCGGCGCTGGTACTTCTACCAGCACCGCACGTGTCCGCCTCCTGTCTTCATGGCAGCTGTCACCCTCACCCAGGTACGGGGCAGGGGCATGCGGCCGGCGGGTGCCCAGGCTGATCCTGGCTGAAGCGTCTCGGTGGCCCTGGGGGGCTCAGCCCTGGGGTGGACAGGGTGGGTGAGCCTGGTTGTGATGTCCTGGTGCCCACAGCGGGGCTCAGATCTGTGGTGAAGGGATGGGTGACCCCTGTTGTGATGTCCCAGTGCCCATGGGGAGGGCTCAGACCCAGGGCAGAGGGGACGGATGGCTCCAGCTGTGATGTCCTGGTGGCCATGGGGGGGCTCAGACCTGGGGTAGAGGGGCCGGGTGACCCTGCCCCAGGACAGAAGGACGCAGGGGGGGCAGTCTCGGCGGTGCCGGGGATGACGGCCATGGGTTTTGGCGCAGATCATCGTGTTTCTCTGCTACGGGGCCCGGCTGAACAAGTGGGTGCTGCAGACCTACCACCCCGAGTACATGAAGAGCCCGCTGGTCTACCACCCCGGGCACCGGGCACGCGCCTGGCGCTTCCTCACCTACATGTTCATGCACGTGGGGTAGGTCCCTGCTGGGGAGGGGGGGACGACACAAAGGGGGGGCTGCACGGCCTGAGCCACCGCATGTCCCCCTCCTGTGCCTGGGCAGGTTGGAGCAGCTGGGGTTCAACGCCCTCCTGCAGCTGATGATCGGGGTGCCCCTGGAGATGGTGCACGGCATCCTGCGCATCAGCTTCCTCTACCTGGCCGGTGTCCTGGCAGGTGGGTGCGTGCCCGGGGTGGTAGGGGGTCTCCCCGTCGGTCCCCATCACCAGCCCCGGGGAGGGCACGGGGAGATGCACTCCGAGTTTGATGGGGATGTGGGGCTTCGCTCACTGCCCGCTGGGTACCACCCTGCACTGCCAGCATCACTTGCCCTGCGGGGCAATGCAGCCTATAATTAATTAATGTGGACAGTAATTAATTAATGGGGGGGGGCGAGGCCCCACACTGAGCCCTGCCTGTGCCCGCAGGCTCCCTCACCGTCTCCATCACGGACATGCGGGCCCCCCTGGTCGGGGGCTCGGGGGGGGTCTACGCGCTCTGCTCGGCACACCTCGCCAACGTCGTCATGGTCAGCGGCGCC